CAACCCTCTCATCGAGTACTACATCGTCGAGTCGTACGGATCGTACAACCCTTCGTCTGCGGCCTCGGCCAAGGGATCGGTGACCTGCGACGGTGCTAACTACGACATCTTGACGACCACCCGCACCAACCAGCCGTCGATCGACGGCACGCAGACCTTCCAGCAGTACTGGTCTGTCCGCAACCCGAAGAAGAGCCCCGGAGGATCGATCAGCGGCAGTGTCAACACGGGATGCCACTTCACCGCATGGGCGAACTTGGGGATGAACTTGGGCTCCGAGCAAAACTACCAGATCGTTGCTACTGAAGGCTACCAGAGCAGCGGATCCGCCACCATCACCGTCTCTTAAATGTAGGGTAAGGACTGCATTCGCAATCATTTGTGTGACATCAAACTCACTGACTTTCGACTATTAGGTGTGTACTGTTCTACCAACCAATTGTATTCCAAGTCAAGAGTCGTACATATTATTTGGTGAATTGTTGAACTAAAATCGCGTCATTTGTATCAATCTGTACCAGATTGTTGTAGAAGTAGGAACAGGAATAAGAATTCAATGAATTCGCACTGATATACGGTGGCCTTACTCTGAAACCGACTGCTAGGAACGCATTGTGCAGGTTCCAGGACGGTCGCCTTGTACCTTCGTATGAAAATGTCGACACAGATTAGGTTCTGGATCAGCTCTAAAGGCTGGTGATTTATATTTATCGTTGAGACCGCTTCGGTTCTGCATCCTCGCGCCGTCCGTCTCTGGTCAAGACGCGCACGACTTCGAAATCGGAGGGAACTTATGTTGAAATTTGGTTACCATAACTCGGCAATCTAAGAAATGCCCTGCCTTTTTGTCGTCTATTGAGTAGGATACTACGTTGTATTCCCCACTGCTTTGCCTCCAATACACCGCTGTTTTATCATCCTCCACAGCTCATACCACGACCGGAAAGGAATGCACCTAAATCGACACTATTCGTAGGTCTGCAATCAAGTTTCGTACTTCCTGTTCGTATTTGTATTTATTTTCGTTGGAATTAGGGTTTTGATCAAAAGGAACAACAGAAGCACGGTCGAGTATCTTTCTCGCTTGGACATAGGAGGAATGCTCCCGTGATCATGAGTCTCTCAAGCCGTTGTGTTACACCCTGTCGGGGGAAAAGCCCATACACGATTTGGCGTTCATTCCTTTTACGGGTATGTGTATATGAAGTGGTCGTTTTTACCGTTAGCTGCATGAAGCAATAACTTTCGGCATTATCATCACTTTACCTGCATTTGAAGTATCATCTCGACCACCGGCTATGCAGGAGTAATTATGACAACCAATCTACACCTTAAATCCTACAATGTAGATTTGTTATTCTGCTATGTAAATACGAATTATCGGTGGATCCACCCAGGTTTACTTGGATAGGCCCAACTACCAGTCATATCGACAATAATAGACACTCGCAATAATATACTGACGTCAACACGAGCCTATTGGCTGAGAATCTCTAGCAGCACTCGCATCGAACCAAACCCTCCTAACCCACCGCCTCCGCCTCGTTACACTGCCCCCACCAGCACTATACACCCCCGGCCTCGGCCCCAACCACGCATCATTCGTATAAACCCACGCATCCTCATCCGCGCCTCCACATCCCGCCCAATCACCCGTCAAGTCCTTTCGCCAATCCTCAGTTGGGACAAAACGCCAGTTTTGGGAAAGCGAGAACGTCAAGTTACTGCTGCACAGAAATTGAACTTGTGTTAGTAATGTATGTCAAGGAGATTAAGATATAATGAATTTAATAGGGATGAAAACGTGGTACAGACCTGATTTCATCTTCTGGACCAATACCTGTCCATCCATCCCTTCCCCTTGTCCATGCGCTTCGTTCACCCTGTCTCAGATTTGCTTTGCTCCATCCTTGGCCTGTGGATTCAATTACCGGGGGGATGCCGTCATAGCGCTCGTTCTCGAATAATTCAACTTCTCGTATCTCGGCCCGCCAAATTTCATCTGGGAGCCGATCATTGTCAATGAAGCGCTCAATTGTCGTGCGAATGGGCATGTGGATCCATTTTGTGAGGGACGGGTGTATGAGAGTGATGAACCGTTCATAGCGGCTAAGGATGGCAGGGATCGAGATTTGTGCGGAATGTAGCAGAGTTGGTGCGAGTGCGCGCACTGTTGGATGTGTGGCAATGAATGGTGCTAGACCCACGAATAACGCGACTTCGCGGATTGGGAAGGTAGGGAGGTGTATTAACACAAGTAAAGGGAAGAAGGTGACGACGAGAAGGGTGAGGATCTGGGGTGTGTAGGGTGATCGTGTGGTGGGTGATGCGTGGGAGGAGATGTTCGATGTTGAGGGTGTGAGGTGAAGCGGTGTGAGAGAAAGGTGGTAAGTGTAGGGTTGTGTGAGTGTAGTCATCTCTGCAACGAAACCCATGAGATTCTGGATGCCTTGCAGGTTTGCTTGCCAGGCCGCGGTCCCTTCTGCAGGTTGTTGAGTAGGTGTTGAAGACGTGTCAGAGGGTGAGGAAGGGGTGGAAGGGGAAGCAGAGGAGGCCCAAGGGTAGGTGGAAAGGATGATGCCAATGAGTATTGTGTGTGGGATCAAGAGGATTGTCCGAGGAAAATAGCCTGAGGAATGTAAATGAATAAGCGCCCGTACAAGAGTTAAACACATACAGAGGAACACATAAAGTGTCATCCAAGTCGCCGTTCGTTTCCATCCGCCCTTCCAGAATAGGATTTCCTCGACGCGGTCCTGGAACCAAAACACAGGTCCAACTTTTGCGACAAATCGCTTGAAATTCTGCGTCATGATTGGTAATGACAGTGGGTCTCGCGAGGACAATAGTACCGCTTTCTCAGACCCAATCTTCTTTCGTGTGTTCGTTGGTGGAGATACAGCGGCCTTTCCGGCAGTAGATGGCGTTGGAATGGATCCCATGAGAAGTTGTGGGATGAAAGCCATCGGTGTGGTTTGTAGACCTGAGCTGGACGGGCTTGAGTTCGAGCGTTGGTGCCTCCCGACAACATCCTGAGGGTCTAGCTGAGGAAGAGTTGTGATTATTTTTTGTGCTGGTTGTATTTTCTGTGAATCTTCGAGTCTTGTTGCAGAAGACGGAATGTCAATATACTCGAGTGTAGCCATTGTAGTTGTTGAATGACAGAAGATGCGTGAATGTGATTCCTGGCCTGCCGTGGGATGATCTTGAAATCTATTTTTACCCCAACATATGTACCCCCCATTTCTTTGGCGTGCTCAAAACGACGTCCACGGGTTCAGCTAGTTTAATTCCACAAATAGTAGTAATGGCCTTAGATCAACATTTAATGTTCAACTTTCGATACGCCACAGCCTCAAATTCTCGGATATATCGAACTCCCGTTCTGATCGCGGAAGCACTATCTGATAAGATCCCGGCTACTCGAGTTCCTCGTCCGCTTTTGACTAGAACTTCCCTTCTTTCTCGCTTCTAAATACTCTCCTCATGCTCTTAAACCCGCTAAGGCTTCCCCAAGAAGCATTTCACTTCAACTATCGAATTTTGGGCCCCCTTAGGCTGGTGGCGTGTTCGACACGTGATTTAGGAAGTGCATATCAGAAACCAGAACTTATAGTCACCTGCTCGGCCGAGGTGCGCGAGGGGCAAAACAGCGCTAGGCTGTGAGAATGACCAAGCAAAAACCGATGGACGGTCCGAACGGTCCCACACGTACTAGCTACACTCTCCCTCTCCGAAACCATGTTCAGAATTCGCCGTCTCGCTGCCGCCTCTGCGCTCTCCAGAACACATGTCCTCTCGACAACGATTGGTACATCACCTCTTCTTCGGCTTTCATTACCCCGACTTCCTTGCCGGCAACAGGTGATGAAATACTCCACGCAGGGAGATAGCTCGGCCGGGACCGTAAATGTCAATTCTCGTACGAACACTCACGTAGAGCGGCAGTCGCATAACGACAGAGGATCCCCCAAGGACAGGCCTGATCCACAGGGGTCGCCAAGGTCTCAGAAAAATGCATTTGTGTTTTTAATTGCGCTCGCTGCTGGACTCTCAGGATATGCGATCGCACGTTCGGAAGTGGCTATCTCACGGGCCTCCGCCGTTGATCCAAGTCCAAATTATGGCACCCCTGAAGATTTTCAAGAAGCAATCCAGGAACTACAAACAGTGTTTGGTCCTGAAGAGAAGGAACCGGGGGATATCGTTTCTACTAATCAGGATGTTCTGCAAGACCATGGATTTTCGGCCCTCGTATACCATGAGGGTAAGGCATGCTTTTCATATATAACCACTATCACCAGCGTTAATATATGACAATGATATCTCAGGTATGATGCATAGCGTGGTGGTCTTTCCACGATCAACTGAAGATGTCGTCAAGATTGTCAGGATTGCGACGAAATACCGGATGCCTGTCATTCCGTACTCAGGCGCTACAAATCTTGAGGGCCATACACGTGGCGTGCGTACTGGGATTCATTTAGTCTCGACCGTGTTTGACGATAAAACTCATCAGCACCCTGTCGGAGGCATTTGTGTGGATCTGTCAGACATGGATCAAATATTAGAAATTCATGGTGCGTATCAAGCAACCACATTGAATCTGAGATCTGTAACCAACAAACATTATGATATCTAGAAGCAGACTCCGACCTGGTGTGCCAGCCTGGTGCTAGATGGGTAGACATTAACGAATCGTTAAAAGAGAAAGGTTCGCTCGCCTCGTGTTATCGACTTTTGCAATGAACTTAAGCTTTACCTATTCCCAGGAATCTCACTGTTCTTCCCCGTGCGTTTCTCTTCTTCTCCTCGGACTCCGATCCTGATCATCTACAGCTTGATCCCGCACCGGGAGCTACTATTGGTGGCATGTTGAGCACGGGGTGTTCAGGCAGTATGTTTATCCGCTGAAGTTCAACACCTAAACACTTAGCCGTTCCATCTAGCCAATGCTGTCCGGTATGGTACTGCAAAGGCTGAATGGTTCCTCAACGCGGTGGGTCTCCACGTATTATCTGACTCCGTGCTGTACTGAATCTGAGAGTAAAGACGGTAGTACTACCATCTGGCGAAGTGATCAAAACGCGCCAGCGATCACGCAAATCCTCCGCTGGGTTCGACACAACCAAACTGTTCATCGGCGCAGAAGGAACACTGGGAATCGTGACAGAAGGTACGACACATAATTTATCTTCATCGTGCCCTGATGCTAAACCCATGATGATGGCCAGTGACGATCCGACTCGCACCTGTACTACCAACAACAGTCGCACTAGCAAGCTTTCCAGATGTCAAGAAGGCCACGGAAGCAGTGGTTGAAATCCTCAATCAAGGTGTTGGCATCCGTAGGTTTCAATCAACCCCCTTCCCCAACGTCACTGACAGATCTGATTGAAGAATGCGTCGAGCTCTTAGACGATAAATTCATGTTCGCCCTGAACAAATTCAACGTTCACACAAAAGGACGTAAATATCTTGAGAAGGATCACCTGTTCTTTAAATTTCAAGGGCCTACACAGGCCTCCCTGAAAGAAACGGCCG